AACAGGCCTTAATCACACAAGCCCAAAGAGACTCAGGATCCGAAAGTAAACACCAAACCTGCTTGGCCAGAAGAGCATCATTGAACTCAGAAAAATTCCTGAATCTGGGACCACCCATATCCTTTAGCAGACCAAGAACATCCATTAAAACCCAATAGGTTTTGCGAACCGGACCTAGACTCCCCCACCAAAACCCAGCAACTAACGCGTCCAACTCCTGATAGACAATAGCAGGGAACTTAAAGATACTCATTGGGTAGGCTGGAATAGCCTGGACAACCGCCTTAATCAAGACTTCCTTCCCTACCTGAGATAAAAGACTTTGTTTCCATCCTTGCAACTTACCCATAATCCTCCCCTTGACATAGGCAAGACCTTGTTTCTTTGACAACCCCCATATAGTAGGGACACCCAAATAAGTACCTGGATTGTCAACCACAGGGATACCCAACACATAAGCTAATTCGGCAGCAACCCTAGCATGAGTATTCGCCCTAAAGTAAACACTAGACTTCTGCAAATTCACTTTCTAACCCGAAGCATCACAATACTTTGCGAGAAGATCAACCAAATGCTGACAGTTTTTTCCATCAACGCACAGAAAAATTAAAGTGTCATTAGTAAAAAACATATGAGAAATGATCGGACCCGAGACACCCATCATCATGCCATCCAGCAACTTCCTATCCACTATATCCTAAATCATCCGAGAAAGAACCTCCCCAACCAAAATAAATAAATACGGAGATAGGGGATCGCCCTGCTTGAGACCCCAAGAGGGAGCAAACTGCTTACTAGGTTGTCCATTAAGAATGACAACAAACTACACCGAAGACACACAACCCATAATTAAATGCTGCCACAGACTAAAAAAACCCATCATTTCCATAATTGCATCAAGAAAATCTGACTCCACATGATCGTAAGCTTTCTGCATATCAAGCTTTATACCCAATTCATACTTATTTTTCGCTTTCCGCCCTTTGAGGAAGTGAAAGATCTTATAGGCAATCCCAATATGATCATGAATCTTCTGACCCGCCACAAACACATTCTGAAAGGGAGATATAAGCTGTGGCAACACACTTTTCAATCTATTGGCAAGAACCTTGGACATAACCTTATATGAGTAATTACAAAGACTAATAGGCCTAAATTGTGAAACCGATTCTGGGTGATGAACCTTAGGGACTAGAACAATATGGGTTTTATTAAGAGTACCTGGGCTAGCCATACCATTCATCAATGTCCTGACCAGCTTATTAACATCCTCCCTAAGATGCTCCCAGAATGACTGATAAAAGATCCCTTGAAAACCATATGGACTAAAAGCTTTAAGACCCCCCATCTTTAGTGCCACATCCATTATTTCCTCGTCAGACACCAACTTGAGCAAAGCTTGATTCATGTCCACAGTTACACCTGGATTGATACATTCCAGAATTGATCCCCAATTCCTAGGCCCCCCAGACCTAAAGGTGGTAACAAAGTGGTCCTCCACTAAGTCACGAACACTGTCGGGTTGTTCAACCCACTACCCATCCACATCTTTAATTTTGAGAACCCTATTCCGCTTACAGCATTGTAATGTTGACTGATGGAAGAACTTAGTATTCGCATCCCCCTTATGCAACCATTTAACTCGAGAGCGCTGATGCCAGTAGCTTTCCTCCTGAGACCATAAATCATCAAGAAGTCGAGATTTTTCCTTAATTTCAGCCAAATTTAATCCCCAATTCATCTGAAGTTCCCTTAACTAATGAAAGAGCTCATCAATTTGTTGCCCCCGTTTCTTAAACCTATTACGGCTCCACCGCAGAAGATGAGAACGACAATCGTTAATCTTCTTAACCCATTGCAACTGCACAACATCAACCTGCCGTCGAGCCCAACAATCCTTCACCAACACTTCGCTTCCTTAGCCAAAAAAGCCTCAAATCGAAACAACTTCCTAACTTTAGGCCCATCCAGATCAGTTTTTATAATAAGCGGATAATGATCAGACCCCAAAACCGTACCATGTAGCACAAACGAATTGGACCAAACATCCTGCCAATGCCCATTATTAAGCCCCTATGTAATCTTTCTTCCATCAACACCCTATGTCGAATGCCCCTCCATGTGAAAGTCAGGCCCTTAAACTCTAAATTAAGCAACTCCGTAACATCCATAAAGTTTGCCAAAATTCTAGTCGATTATAGTGAACCTCCACCCCTCCAGACTTCTCATGGGCCCAAATGAATCCATTGAAATCACCCCCGCAAAAGACAAGGGATGTCCAATGGAGAAAAATGAGATTACATCCAGCCCCAAAAATCAAATGCAACCCCATGTTTGTCTGCAGCAAGGACTAAGTTTAATGGTATTAAGTGGGACTCAAGTCAACTAATTCCTTTGTTAGAAGGTCTTAGTGAGGCCCCTTAAATACGAGAGAACTAGCTAAGACCGTCGTCCTCTTCGTGCTCGCTCACTTCTTCATGCTCGTATCCTTGTCCTGCTCGCTCACCACGTCTTGCTTAACTACTTCAATTTCCCCTTCTGCTCATCTTAATTGCACGTTTCCCCTTCGATCTCCCTTTCGATTTCCCCTACAATTTCCCCTTCTGGGTTGTTATGAAATCTAGGTGCGTTTTATGCTGTGAAATTTTCTTGTTCTTCAATGAGTTCTCCTTCTAGGTATTTTATGATGTTGTATGGCTTTGATTTTCCCTTCTAGGTATTTTGTGATTTCCCTTAGTTCAGCTTTCCATGCTCAAAGCCATCTATGGCGAAGCCCCAATTTCAGAAATTGGTAAGGCTATGAAGAAGGAATCGAAACATGCTGCCTCCAAATTTGTAGGGTGATAAGGTTTGAATTTTTAACAATTTTGGGACATTTAAGTTCCTGATTAAATTTAAACAGTTAGGTCACTGATTTCAATTTAAATTCTCCATTTCAACTATGGAAACCGAGACAAAAGGTTAACAGAAAAAAGGAAAAAAAGCTAGAGGCATTCATGGAGCTCGCTGTGTGGAGTATAAGGCGAAGAAACCCATAAAAAGTATGAGATAATAATCTTTTCTGTTTCTCAACTATGAATTTTCACCTGGGTTTTTTCCAATTTCCCCAAAAAAAGCCTTCCATTTTCTTCCCCAAGTCATTATTTCTCAACATTGCAGAATCTAGGTTTTGTTCTTTATACTCTGTTTTGGTGAATTATGAAAAAAATTCTAGATGGGTATTTGTTGCTGTAGTGACTGATTGGTTACGGAAAAAAAAAACTAGAGAATGAGGATAATTTTGTAATTTTATGTGTTTCCATGGTGGCTTATGGTTGAAAGAGATGTTTGGTTATGCAAATTGCAATGATACAATGCACAAAAAACTCAATATTTTCTTTCATTTCCAAGCAATTGCAGTTAAGTTTAGTGTAATTTTATCATTTGATTTAATTGTGGGTATTGTGCAGTTGAGTTTGATGCTTCAATTGTTAATTTGCAATTTCACTAATTTTTATTATCCTACTTCTTAGTCCGACACTGTATCAAACGCTTCACTAAGTCAGTCCAACTTAGTTCTATTCTAAGCCAGTCAAGCTTAATCTCTGAAGCTAGTCCAGTCCGAGATAGTTTGGTGCAACAAGCGCACCTTAGGAACTTTCCCATATGACGCAATACTCCTTTAGGAATACAAAGATTCCATTAAAGTCCTTAGACCAACTCCAACCCTTGCACCCAAACCAAATATTTAGTCCATTAAAAGACGGAATTTAAGTGTATAAACAGTGAATATCACCCAACTATCAAGAGCTAAATTTCAGGATCTAAAAGTAAAATGTACTAATTGTTGTGGAATATAGTTTTAACCCTTTTTTTTAACTTTGAATTATATTATTTTAATTTAATTTGAAGAGTGTTTTAACATTAAAAAAAATTAAATTTCGACAATATTTTCAAAACTGAACATATCACACTAACTAACCAAACTTCAATGCACACTAACCAAACTTCAATATACAAACAACCAACCAAACTTTAAAACATGCACCATCAAAGTATGTATGTTCTAAAAAATTATTTTATCATTTTGACGTTGAATTTAAATTTCCGCAGTTGGATCTTTTTTACAATTAGATTTGAAAAAAAATTAAATAAATATGAACAATTAGAACAAAATCTAAAGATTGCAAAAAGGAAAAAAAAGAAAAAAAAAAGTATTTTAACCTAGACTGTTGATCACCAATGGCCCAAAAATCAAACGGCTCATAGTCCCTTAAAATGTTACCGTTTTGCGACTGGGGCCTTGCCAGTTGAGGCTTATCTGTTGCCCACATCAATAAATCATTCACCCGTTGTTTTATAAAAAAATCTAGGGACCCTAAAAATTAAGTCAGCCAAATACAACCCAAATTTGGGTTTAGCTTGGGTCAAAGCCAAACCTTTTAGGTTTAAGTCCCACCATTAGATACAACTTAATACTACGGTCTAGTTGTATTCCTCTTCACTTATGAGTGAGAGGTCTTAGGTTCGATTCTCGTCAAAGGCAAATTTGAACCATATCGATTCTAACCAAAGGTAAATTTGAACCATATTATTGCTCCTCCATTTTGAGGCATAATCAAATCCCACACCCCTTTAATGCAGATAATATTATTTATTAAAAAAAAAACAACAAAAAAGTCCCACCTTTAGGTTGAAACTCAAATATTTAGGTTTGAGTCTTTACCCTACAGTTGGTTTTAAATAAATCCTCAAAGATAGTAGAGGGATCCCCATTGTTGATACCCTAAATAGGATAGACAGAGCTCGAATTCTGGTGTTGGAATGACACAAAGTGATCTCTTAATCCTCTAATGCCTTAGTTCAAGTACTTATAAGGGTAGTGCCATAAAGTCGCACTTACAATGATCACGATGAAATTTCAAACACTATCCGTCCACAAACACCCATGCACTTGGCCTAGTGTCCTTATCCTATCTATAGGATCTATAGGAACACTAAAAAATATAGATAGTTATAAGTTCAGAATGATTATTTACTCGGCAATCTGGACTAATTTCTGGATAGATACATAAATCATCAGGAACGGGTACTTTTATGGCCCTTCCTAATTCCTGCTAGCACCATATAACTTCGTAATGCCAGTTAACTCTATAAAAATTACAACAGCACCAACTCCAATTTTGTCATCTAAAAAATACATGAGACAAAAACAAAATCGAAAACAAAGACAACATATGCAAATGTGGTATCACTGAAATACAAAATGGACCTTCTCCAGTCCTCTGAAGGCTTCTTACATGTATACAGGGGACGGAACCAACGTGCATATCATCTGGGACCGGACAACTCATCCGGAGGAATATGAGAAGTTGAGTCTACTATGATCCAATTAGTACTTTGGTGATGAATAGGGTTGAAATCTTGGCGGAACATCTCGTTCTGCCACTCTTCCCATCTTTCAGCCAAACCATCGCCTTCCAGCATCTGGACAACCTCTGACATCTTGGGCCGTTCCCCTGGGGAGTCTTGTGTGCATAGTAGAGCTACTTGGGTCAGCTGCTCCACTTGATCGTCAATATAATTTCCATTTAGATCAGCATCAACAAGTATTTCCACCCTCTGATCTTTCATTAGTCCTTTGACCTAATTGTTTTAGTTAAAATAAAAAGGAAAACGTCAGATAGTTCTACAATTTGAAACAAAAGGTGAGGGCACCAAGGAGAGTAAAAATGTGTTGTAATGTTCACAATTTGAAGGGCCGCAATTTTCTCTAGAAAATCAAACTGCATACAAAAATGTATCGTCATTCAAATATTGATATAATGCAAAGATAAGAAAAATATGCAAATAGAGAGGATAGAAAGAAGCGAGAGGCCAAGATAGGAGAATAAAGTGATGATGAGGAAATTAGGATCAACAAAAAACATATGCCAAATTTTTCAAGAAATCACAGTAACGCCAATATATTGGTAAAAGAAGCAACAACAATAGTAACAATTACCAAGGAAATGTAATAATTAACCTCTGACTGTTTTCAACATTTCGGCCAAAAAGACAAGTGATTTTTACATTAATCAAACAGGAATTTGGCAGTTGTATAAATAATAATAGGTTTTTAAATCATATTTCCAAAGAACTAACTAAAATGCATGCAGAAGTGTTCCATAGGGAATGATTAAGAATGTCATAAGAAATTAACAGTTTGAAATAAAATCGTTAAGTGTGGAGACCCATTATTTTCGTCTAAAATAAGTAGCGACATTGGTAACACGAGAAACGCCTAAATTACGGTATATTATATAACATTTCTTTAACAATCTGAGTATTGAAACTTTGATAATTTCCAAGAATTGGACTTAGGGACACAAAATAGATTGAAGCTAGAATATCGTTGAATTTCAACAACATTACGTCTCTTTAGATATAAAATATGAAAGATATCAAATGTTGTTGGGAAATAACCTTGCATATAATATTAAATTAGCTACATACACAAACAGTAGAATTTTTTCCTTGTGATCAGAACATGAGTGATACATTACGTATTTTTATATAAGTGATAAGAAATTTTATTTTTTTAAATTATTAATTTTTTAACACACATATTCCATAATTTGTATAATGATACGTGATGTATCATCCCGTGATCATATTGAAAAAAATTTTCACAAACAGAAAGACGTAAATGCATACCCAATCAAGTAACGTGACGTCATCATCACTCTCAGGCTGAGGATCAAAAGCCCTCTGACCAGTGATGAGTTCAAGAAGCATGACTCCGTATCCAAAAACATCAGTTTTCTCGGAAAACCTTCCATTTGAAAAGTACTCTGGTGCTATATGACCAATTGTGCCACGTACAGCTGTGGTAATATGTGTATCCTTGTAGTTCATGAGTTTAGCCAACCCAAAGTCTCCAACAACTGCTTCGAATTCCTCATCCAACAATATGTTTGCAGCTTTCACATCACGGTGAATAATTTTTGGATCACAGTGGTCATGTAAATAAGCAAGGCCTCTTGCAGATCCCAATGCAATGCGTTGTCTTACTGGCCAATTAAGTGCAGGTTGTCCTTCTGGACGATCTACAATAATAATTATTAATATATCCACAAACTTTTGAGAGTAGAGTTTCAAATCACAAACAACAGGTAATATGGTCTAACACATATCATGCCACCAGTCTTACCCAAAAAAGGTCATCTCGTCATTCTTTTCAAATTAAATAGAAAGAAAATCAGCAAGAAGGTAACTTAAAATGGAAGGGAAAAAAAATACATTATAGAAAATCAGTGTTGATACTCCAAACCAAATTGGTCGGGTTTTTAAATTCAAATTATCAATGTAATCCAAATAATTTTTAATATCGTGAAAACAAAAAGATTCATCAACGCAGCATACAATCTAGATGAGTACCTATTAAACGTGATGCCACACTTCCATTAGCCATATAAGGATATACAAGCAGCCTTTCTGTTGGTGTCATGCAAAAACCATGCAGACGAAGCAGATTGCGGTGGACAGCCATGCTAATCATTTTAACTTCCGTTTGGAACTGTAGCTCCCCGCCTTGGGTTCTCTTCTCTTTTAGTCTTTTTACAGCAACCAGAGTTCCATCAGCTAAGCATCCTTTATAAACCTTACCAAATCCACCTCTACCAAGAATATTTTTGTCGCTAAAGGTATCCGTCGCAACTTGTAGCTCGCGTAAAGAAAACCTTTTGAGCTGTCGTAAATGAACTTCTGGATCCTCCTCAGCTGCAAAGACAGTAGATGAGTGAAACCTGCATCCCATGCAACAACTACAACACCAACTTGATCAAGCTATATTAATCTTAATAGTTCACTAACCAGGTTCATTAAAGAAATGATCCTGTGGTTTTCTTCGTCGACAATAAGCAAATGCAATTGCAAGTGCACCAAACAGCAAAGCAACACCAACGGCAACCCCTCCAAAAATAGCCCCAGTACCAGTGCCACCCATAGTTTCCAGATACATGTTACGATTCGAGTTCGCAATTCGGTTAGGATACGGAATTCGATAGTAACCTATAGTAACATTATGTTAGAGAATACACAGACATTATCATATTCAGTTCAATTCGTAAAAAAATATACATTAAAAATATTTATAATATACATTTTACAATAATATTTATAGTTATTGTTTATTGTATTGTAAGCAATTATTTTTGTTTAATAGAATTGATTACTTGCAAGCAAATATTTGTTTACAAATAAAAAATAATTAATTCACTTAACTTTCAAATTAGAATAATATAAATATTCTCAAATACAAGTGACCATTTACCACAGTGGTGGAAATGTGTTGCGTCATTGCATGACGGCGTAGGTTCAAACTCCGTCGATGACTAACCTAACATATAATCTAATAAAATCTATCGTTTGACAAAAAAATATAAATATTTGAACTTGGGAAATTCTATGGGCCTCCGACTCTTTACATCTTCTCTAAAAAATCAACACTGTTGATCGGTGCCTCCATAAAAAAAAAATTACAATTAAACTACTGATAATGCTAGGGAGATCAAAAATATTAAACCAAATGATGTGGTTGTAGATGATTGAATTATTAATTAAGTATACATGCTTGTTTCTTAATGATGATACATCATTTGGTTCGTAAATTTGATTTAAAACTTTGGTCTCTCAACCATTTCCTTAAACTTAGTATTTTCTCTCTCTCTCTCCCTCTTCGTCTTCCCTCTGCTCGATGAAAACCAGAAGCACCGAGCTTCCCAAAATTCCAGTTTTTTCACTCCTCTGTTCCCAAAAATTATCAGTGCGTATTAATTATTGTAGATGATTATAATCACCACTGAATCGCCAAACCAAATAATGTGTCACCAATAAGAAATAAACACAATAATCGACACTTAATTAATAATTCAATCATCAACAACCGTTTAAAATTTTTGGTCTCGCTAACATTATTCTTTTATTCATTTCTTCAAACTCACAGAAATAGTACAACACATAATTAGGAGTATCCTCTCGGATCCTCAATCCATTCCTTTCCTAACTAGCATCTTCTTAGATTCTTTACAGCAGTGATTCCAACAGTAATGGTATATTATGAAAAGTTTTAACAGAAAAACACCAAAAATAAAACATTAACCATTATGAAAAGTTTTAACAGAAAAACACCAAAAATAAAACATTAACCATTACTGGACTGGATCGATATCACAAGTGTCTGTGAAACAAAACAGAGCCAATTCTCAAAATAATTTTGCGCTAATATCACAAGAACATTAGAACAGTACAAGTTGTAAAAACCTGGATGTGGTGAGGCTGGAAGTGGATTCAGACGAGGATTATTGGCAAAACTGCAAAATGAAGAATAGCAATCAGTACATCATTTAGATCGTCCGCTGGGACAGTCACCGCAGGAAAAAGGTAAAGAAAAAGAGTAAAGTTGCTTCAACAAACCTCATGGGAGTAAAAAGTTAAAAAGATCCATTGACCGGAGGACTTGGATTGTCTGCCCTCCTATTTCGGTACCTTTTCCGTGTCATACTGTTTTGTGTAGTCACGGTTAAGCTACGTTAATATTTTATATTATTTTTTTATAAAAATAATAAAACAAAAAGAAATAGTAATATAAAATGTTGACGTGGCTTAACCGTAACCACAAAAACAGGAGGGCACGGGAAGGGCACCACAAATAGTGCCCTCCTGTTTTGTGTGGTCACGGTTAAGCTACGTTAATATTTTATATTATTTTTTTATAAAAATAATAAAACAAAAAGAAATAGTAATATAAAATGTTGACGTGGCTTAACCGTAACCACAAAAACAGGAGGGCACGAAAAGGGCACCACAAATATCCCCTGTCAGATTGTTATTTGAAAGATCCCTGCATTCCATGGCAAAACTATATGTTATTTGCATTCTCTGGGGTACCGATTGGTACGTGAAACGTGACGGAACAGAGTGAAATGAGACGTTCCGTCTCATGTTTGGTTCACCTAAAACGGGTGAAACGTATTGTTTCACGGAACGAATTTTAGATGAATTTTTGTTTCCCCTTTTTCCCTGGAATGACTCGTTCCAAATCCGTGGAACACAAAATTATAATTTCTCCGTCTCATTCTTCTTCCTCCTTGTTTCCATCCGAGAGCATCTTTGCTCTCTCTCTCCATTCCGTCCCATCCTGTCCCGTTCCGTTCTCGTCTACATACCAAACAATACCTGATGGCGGAGAAATTAGTAACTTCTGTCTCTCTCTCTCCTCCCTCTTACACTGAGATGAAAGTGTATGAAACTCACAGGACTTGCAATGATTGGATGTTCCCTTCTTGTGAATCTTGAAACCAGGGATCATACTATAAATTATATGCATCCGGCACAAGGACTTTAAGGAAGAAAGTCACTCCAATGGAACAATTAATAAAAGCAAATTAGCATATCGAATAAAAAAGAAAGACGATAGATTTTATCTAACAGAAGGATGGGGGTTCATACAGGAAACGCAGTTTTGCAAGGTTGCCAAGTAAAGATCCAAGCTCACCAAGTCTGACAAACCCCCAAGCTCTTCGGGAATGTTTCCAGTCATTCATTCATTAGTTCATTCCAGTTCCCACAACCAAACACTCCCAATTTCAATAACACACAGAGACATACCTTCGACATTGGCAGCAAGCTTGTGGAGGTGAAAGAAGCGAAACAGCAGAATCAGCCAAACAGAGACAGAGGTGGAGGACGTTATCACTGTTGTGTCTGTTAGAGCTCAGGTAAGCAGCTGGCGTTGACCGATCAAAATCCGAAGAATCTCTGCATTGACCGGATTCCAGAAAATTTGGTGGCTGTTTGATTAAATTGCAGATTACGTTTGGAAAAGCATGCCGCTGCTCCTTGGAGAGAGAGGTTGAAATCTCAGATTGCTAGTTTTGGAGAAGAAAGAAAGAAAAGGTAAAAGGCTTGGGAGGAAGACGAAGGAGCTGCGGATAGAGGACCTCTCAGTCAGTTTAAGCCCTGATTTGGTACGGTGGTAATTCTGAAAAAAAATGGTATAAAAAAAAGCTGGCAGCTTTATTGTATTTGGTAAACATTCAATTTCACATTTTTTTTTTACAGTTTTGTGTGAAAAAAACCAAAAACAGGAAGCTGCAAAACCCAACTTTGAAAAATCGGTTTTTTTTTTTTCACATCTGTTTTACATAAAAGTTTACTAAACACTATAATACTGTTTTTTTTTTCAAAAGCATTTTTACAAAAAAATTTACCAAACACTCTGCTGTTTTATTTCACAGCTGCTTATTCTCACAGCACAGCAGAAACAGTTTTTTTTCAAAGCACAGCAATACCAAACCAAAGTCGCAACCCACCAGGTCGGAAGTTTCGTTTCTTCTTTTGTTTATATTTATTTTTTACTTTTCAGCTGATTCCTGAAATTGCTATGCAACTCCTCACTCAAAATGAGATTTCTGGTTTAATCCACTATAAATTGTTTTAAAGAAAAATTAATAAAAATGGTTTGAAAACTTTGAGTTTTAATGATAATGACAAAATAATGGGTAAAATGAATAGTACCAGGATTAACTTTTTATTGTAAAAATATGATTTTTCGTTAAAGTGAACAGTACTATAAACTTTTCATTAAAGTTCCCTTATTTTAATCATTTCATGAAAAAACAAAATTACACTCAATTTTTATCAAATTATTATGGCCCATTTTTTATTAAATTGAGGTTATTTTGTTATTTGCTCCTTATTTAATGGATATTTTTAACATAATGATCAAAATGATTGATAATTAACAAACTCATGAATCACTTCTGGCAATTTTAAATTTCAGGAATCAAAGTGAGAAGTTATGCTAATTTCAGAGACCATTTTGGCTAATTTCAAAACAGAAAAGTAAAAACTAAAAATTAAAAATTAAAAACAAAATAATTATCAAACGACTTTTAATTAATAACTCATTTAGTTGACCAAGGGTTGCAAAGAGTCGAAGTCTAACTTTGATTAGAAATAATAAACCATGACATGAGCTATAATATAAACCATGACATAAGCTATAGCCAATAGTGAAGCTATTGTAGAACCAAGATCCTCGTCGAATCCATTCCCTAGTGATCTTGCAATCTTGTTCGTTTATCGTATATCGTGCGGTTAGAAATCATTTAAAATTTAAAATTTAAAATTCGAATGTAAATAGTACCTAACGAAAACTGACCGCATGATATACGATGAACGGATAGAATTGCGGGATCCCTAGGGAATGGATCCTGCGAGGATCCCGGTTCGCTATGAGGCAATACACTTATAGGAATTCAAAGATTCCATTAAAGTCCTTAGACCAACTCCAACCCTTACACCCAAACCAAAATATTTAGGGGGTGTAATCAATTTGAATTTTAGAGGATTTTAATGGATTTTGTTTAGGTGACAAATTTTAAAGGATTTTAATGGACTCTACAATTCCATATGGATTTTGACAGATTTATGTGGATTTCTCTTATAGATTTGTATGGATTTGTATGGATTCTTTCTTGGATTTCCTAGGATTTTAAAAAAATTTAGAAATCACATACAATGCCGTCAGATCATTTTTAATGAAACTCTGTGGCTGAGATTAACCTCTCCAACTCTCTGCAATTGAAACCCTAATTGTTATGTGTATTCTACTACACTGTCTGAAATCACGATCCTCAATCCAAGGACTAGTTAATTGCATATTTTCATACCGTAGTAATAGCACAAATTAATAATGTTTAGAATGTATACAGGTTGGATGAATTGATCCAACCCAAGCCAAATAATACGTGTTTCGAGAGTGACGTTGATTGGTTTTAATAATAAATGGTGACATTTCAAAGGCACCAAAGCAAAATTGAACAAGGTGTATTCTGTAAATAAAAGTACAACAGAGATAGGAAGTAGTTGAAGGGAAAGGAAGAGTCAGCAAGGGAATTTACGTGAGATGTTTGGGTAGTCGGTGAAGAAAGAAAAAAATAAGTTGGTGGTGCTGGGACATCTTCTCATGCTTGCAAAGATTTCACGACCAGCCATAGAAGTCCAAGTCGGCTGAGTTCACAGTAGGTCCTCTCAAATGGAGAAGACTGTTCCTCTGGTGTGAAAAGAAATTTGAGGGGTAAGGGTTGGATAACATTTGGTATTTATACCACAAACCCTCAAATCCATTAAAATCCATCACTCATCAAAATCCTAGCAAATCCTTGGTAATTTCACTACACCTAGACATCTGCAGACTCATTTAAAATCCTAATCGACTATCCTTGGATTTTGATGTATTCTTTAAAATCCTATAAAATCCTAATTTGACTACACTATGATTTCAAAATCTTTTAAAATCCTAATTGAATGCACTTAGATTTTAAAATCCATCAAAATGCTATCAAATCCTAATTTGACTACACACCCCTTTAAAAGACCATTAAAAAGACGGAATTTAAGTCTATGAACAGTGAATATCACCCAAATACCAAGACCTAAATTTCAGGACCTAAAATGCTAATTGTTGTGGAATATAGTTTTAACCCTAATTTTTTTGGTGGGATTTTTTTTAATTTTTTTTGTACTTTTGAATTATATTATTTTAATTTAATTTGACGAGTATTTTGACATTAAATGATTAAATTTCGACAAAATTTTCAAAACCGAACAAATCACACCAACCAACCAAACTTCAATACACACACCATCCAAATGTAAAGTGGATATGTTCTAAAAAATTATTTTATTATTTTGACATTTAATTTAAATTTCAGCAGTTGGATTTTTTTTACAATTAGATTTGAAAAAAAAAATATGAACAATCAGATCAAAATCTAAAGATTGCAAAACAAAAAAAGATTTTAACCTAGACCGTTGATCACCAATGGCCCAAAAACCAATGGCCCAAAAATAAAACGGCTCGTAGTCCCTTAAAATGTTACCGTTTTGCAACTGGTACCCTGCCAGCTGAGGGGTCCATCTGTCGGCCACTTTAGTAAATCACAAGCAGTGAAGCCCGCGCAATGCTGCGGGATTCAAAACTGTCTGGTTGCACTGATGTGATGCGTCCCACAATATCTTGCAATTTGGCAATCCAATATTATAAGATTATAGGATGAAAAAATGTTGGCAAACAAAAATGGCATATAGATGTAGATTTATAAATGTGTTTAATTACCTATGAGAATTTCAACTTTATCTACGTGAGATAACAATTCATTGTAATCCACTAAATAAAAGTGATGCTCATGAATGTATGGAGGTCCTTCTGTTATTTGTTTACTGGAAAGCCAAAGCGTTGTTAGTAGATGATGTTAAATATTTTGTAGATGCAATAAAAAGAATTCCTCTCAAGGTAATTACAAATTCTCACTCTCCCAAATCTTACCTTTTCGAATGCTTAGAGAATTACGCATTCAATAAACCCATAAAAATTAAAAACTCTAACCTACAAAAGTAAATAAAACAATATACAATCAAATTACAGGAATATAGACAAAGTACCAGTTACATCTCTAATCTTTTATAAGGGGTCTTTTCCACATAACAGCGTCAACCAAAGATCAGAGCATACAAATAAACGATATTAAACTTTTCAACCAACAAAACCAAATATTCAATCAATTCAACCTACATATTAAATATTGTTCTCAACCCCTGTTGAAGAAAGGATAATACAGAGAACTGACTAAGTGAATATTATAGTCAATATCCTGCAAATTTGCACATTAATATAGATGTGATTTAACTGATCAAATGTGATTTAATTTTGTATTTCAATCTGAACAAAGGCCACCTTTCAGACATAGTTCAACATAAATCAACGCGGAAAAATATTAAGAATTAAATTAATCAAATACAAAAATAGTTGTAGGTCGTGGGATATCACTTTGGGATTTTCGTGGTTTACCTTTTCTTTAAAAATAAGTCAATGCTTGATCATCTAGTCCTCCAACCTTCTGTTTCTCAATCTTCTGCAAGATGATTCAAATCAGAACCATTAAATTTCAGAAGAAACAAAATTAGAGGAAAAAGTGGTGCTTCCTACTTCAAACAATGAAAATGCGAATATTTGATCCCAATTATCCTTGAGTGACCTAAAAGAAGGCTGGCCGCTAGGACTGCTTACTTGAGCTCAACTGAAGTTCAATGGGGTCAGAGACGGAAATAGAACCCAAGGAGGAGAAAGAACGGTCAAAGCCAAATTTATACAACTAATTACCATTCAATCATATTAGGGGAAAATAATTAAACTATACAATAACAACAATTAAATCTTAGGAATGACAAAATTTTCTGTAGTTCAAAAAACCCATATGGAAACGTGTAAACAGTTCTCAAGGGAAATTACAAAATCATATTGAAAACCCCTCTCGAAGCACATTAATAATCTAACTAATGAATGTGATTCGAGAAACAAACCTTGTTCAAGTGCAATCTACATATTTTACAGCAATAATCTGACCATTTGGCAAGTGGCCCTGAAGTAATGAATCAGTATTACTATTAGGCTTTCATGCTTTATAAAAAAAAAAAAAAAAAAAAAAAAAAAAAAAAAAAAAAAAACAGTAGACATAAGAAACAGAACAAAATTACTGTATAATGCTTAGAAGAAATCATTCAATTGTAAAATGTGTAAGACTTCTGAATTGGGATTCACCTAATAAACAATGCCAAAACCCCCTTGGCCGAGTTTGTTAATGGGTGAGAAGTTATCTGTGGCTGCTATTATGGTGCTCAGACCGAAATATTGCAACTCGGGGTGTCTCCTCGCTTCTTCAAGTTCATCTCTCTCCGTATAGTCTGTGCTATCACATGAACCAATTGTAGACATTCATTAAGATGAAATTGCATTGCTTTTATTTAGATCAAACCGTTAAACAATTCAGAGGGGATGACTACTTCTCATACCTTTTGTTTTACTCTTTTTTTATCCGCTTAGCATGGCAAAGGCAACACAATGATTAATACCACATGCTAGCAGTACCGAAACTATTGGAATAGCCAGAGCACCCCTCCGTCTCAAAAAACCTTTTGATTTGCTGGTATGCTTAGCTACACATTCAAGTCGGACAAAGGATTAGGAAACCATGAAAAACAGAAAATCCCAAAAAAAAATCAATAAGTAACCTACTTAATATATTAATGTAGGCAAATGTGAATTTGAATGGCTTAAAACTCAAAAATTGTGAAATTTTATACAAAAGTTTCGATCAGACCTTATTTCAAAAACATTCCTCTATTTTTCCTGAGGCTGCGGAACAACTCCTCCACCAAAACTGATTTATAGCATCTGTTTCAAGCCTAATCATTATGAGTCAATTTGGAGATTTGCTAAAAGATCTCAAAAATTAAATGAATAATTCAAATAAAAAAAAATCATATCAAAAGAACCCATAACTTTAAAAGAAAAACTGTCCTGAACCCTGCAAATTTAAATGAAGAATTCTAAAATGTCTGTGCATGTTGATTTTCCAAGGGTGGCAGAGGAAATTGTACAGCAGACTAACAATTCTTCATATGTTTGAAGAAAAATCTACATGCATGCGACATCTACAAAGGTTTCTAAGCTTACCCAGGGGCCCAAATACAACATAATTAATAAAACTTCAAAAACTCCCACACAAATTCATTCATCAAACCCCCAAAAAAATTTAAAAAAAAACCACAAACGAAAAGCAAAAAAACGCAGAAAATTTTTATCAACACGACGACTAAAGACACCCAAAAAAACCAAATTGAAAAATCATGGGGGCGAGTATCAACCAAGAACTCACCCAAATAGAATCCAATGAGGAGAATGAATCACCGGGAGATAAGGAGAGCGGCAAGCCAAGGACGTACAGCGAGTCAAACGTGTGGAGGCGGCGTTCATGTCATGGTCGAGCAGCTCGAATCGGCAAGGAAGTTGCCGCAAGGTTGATGGTGAAGAAATAACGGAGGAAGCACGGAGGAAAATTGTGATTTTGAATGGATTATTGTGATGCATGTGGCATTTAAAACCTTAAGAAAAGATTAGGGGTTCTTAATTTCTTACCCAAATCCACAAACTTGAATCAAATCTTTGCAACCCAGCTTGAAATCCCTTTGAAATGACCTACACGAACACAGATCTTACATGCAGAGCATTTTAGATGAAGTTGTGAGAAGGGTTGATGGGAATTAAGGAAACAACCAAATTCCAATCAAAGTTTAGACATGCATTCAGAAACTCACACCCATAAAAACGTTTCAAAGCTTACCGATGATGTTGGGGTGGAACCGTGAAAGTGAAGGGGAAAGAAGAGGCGGTCGGATTCGCGTTGTGGTTTATGGATTGGCAGCAGTAGAAGAATTATGCGGTGGGCGAGGAAACAGCCAAATGGTGAGGGAAAAATAACAAAGAAGGCTCCGGAATTTCCACGCGTCGCGAAACTGTTAAGCATTTGACAGCAAAGCAATAGGGGCAAGGCTATAATAATAGACAAATAAGCGAGGACAAAATCGAAAATCCACTGTACTATGAATAGTGATTCAGGCGTTTTTCTCTTTTAGTATATAATATAATTTGCCCATTGCTTTTCAAAAACAAAAAAAGTAGGGCCCCCAAAAATTTGGGTCAGCCAAATACAAACCAAATGTGGGTTTAGCTTGGGTCAAGCCAACTTTTTAGGTTTATGTGCAACCATTAGATGCCACTTAGTACTACGGTTTAGTGGNCTCATTGACACATGCTGACACATGAGTTCATGCAGAGGTATTCTGACATGAATAGGACTGGGTGTAACAATGATATACACTATAGTACTACAATCATGCGAAGACTGGCGCTATGCGCAACACATACAAGTCGAAGCTGCCTATTGCAACCTGTACGATAGGACTGACACCTACAAGGGATCCAAAGTGAGCGTACAGTGCGATGTGCACATACACGTGAAAGATTGGCCCTGGCCCAGGCGAGTACTAACACCGGTGCAGCAAACGATGAGCAAATAACATAAATGTAGCCATGCCATAATGATTTGATAATTCTAGTCAACATAATATTATTCATAGCCGTAAATTTAGCTAAGGCATCCCGTAAGATTCATAATGATTTTCCTAATTCTCTTCGTTACGTCATTTTCTATAAATATTAATTTAACTATGACATTCATATAGAAAATTCATTATTAGATGTATATATGGAAACTAAACATATATATATATATATGTATGTATGTATGTATGTATGTATGTATGTATGTATGTATCAAGAAAAGACCCACTCACAAATCCTGTCGTTGAGTCGAACCCGACTCGTAGCATCGAGAGTCCTTTCGAGGCATTTCGCCTAGAAACGAAACCATATATGTAAATACGTAAAGTACTAACGTATAAACACATTTTCATACAAAGTGTGGGGAAAAATGAGGGCGGATTCGGGTCCAGCATGTCGAGAAACCTAAAGAGGGACCTCGGGTTTCTCCACGCGCCGATGACCCATGTAAAGCCCACGCATGCCTACGTGCCTGCAAGTACCATTGTACTCAGCTTCCTTGCGAAGGCCTGCATTTTGCAGGTTTTTTGTCCGACTTCCAGAGCTTATATCGAGCTTGATTCTCCCACCAAAATCAATAATTCAAGAGCCATTTTGAAGTTAGAAATGTAGAGAGAAACACCATACCAAGGTGAGGCCGAGTTAAGGTCGGTGTTGGCCAAAAAAATGGCCTGAAAGTTGTCAAATGACCACGGTTACTAATTTTCCAGAAATCTGGAAAACTTCCTCCCTTGCCATTTATGTCATGAAACCAATCCAAACTTCACTCATTAAGCCTAAAAGTCATTTTAAACCACAAGGGGGAGATCACACAAAGCATAATCGACACTCACCTTCATAGAAAGTGGTGAGATCCATGCTGAATAGTCTCCGCAGTGTTAGAACTCTAAGATTCGAGAGCTATTCCCGTTGGGATGTCTGGAATTAAACCTAGGCTAGGTTTCAGATGATATGATATCTTGGGAACATTGGTTCGATGGTCATCTGCCATGGAAGACGGCGATGGTGATGACCTTAACCTCACGGTTGTCCTGTTGTTTGTAGAGATGAGAGAGACGACATGGAGATTGAGGGAGAAAGATGCATAACAAGAGAGAGACAGAGGGACATGGTATGGTGGTTCAGGTGTAGTTCACTGGAAAGGTGGTGAGGTGGTGGTTGTACTGCTCGGCTCCACCTTTTTTTTTTTTTTTTTTTTTATACAGAGAGAAGAGAAAGGTGAGAGATGAGAGGAAGAAGATATAGGGAAGAGAGAGAGTTCCGAGTGATTTGGAAGCATGAGATTTGGGGGAAAAGAAGTGGGGAGTCCCACTGGACCAAAAATTCAAGGGAAAATATTAAAATAATAGAGAGCCAAATATTTAGGATGATGATGAAATTATTAAAATGCTCTTCGACTTCGTAAATCTGTAAAATTTTCATTGCAACTCCGAATTCGATTCTGCTTGTGCCTACGTGTCTGTATCGTCGAGTAGTTCGAGAATGCGGTGAAATAGTAGCTCGAACGCGTCACAAAAAGACCGTCAACAAAGTCAACGCCCTCGCCTCTAGGGGCATTTTCGTCAATTCTCACACATTTTAAAATTACTAAAATCATAAAATTAAGGACGGGTCGTCATAGTTTAACATTAATTTCGTGCCAACATTATAAAATATTGTGCAAAAAACATGAGGTGATAGAAAGTCTATGGAGAGTCCTACTTTTGAGAGAGTCTCCTTAGCATTTCTCATTTACAATTTATCTAGTGTTGGTAGCCATGCATTTTGGATAGGGGTGAGCATTAAAACCGACCAAATCAACTGGTTCAAACAAAATTAATTTGGTCTGTTTGGTGATCAAGTAAAAACAAATAATTTAAAAATCGAACCAAAACAATTTATTTTTTTTTTTGGTTCTATTTTGATACTTTTAAAATCGATCAAAACCAAATCGAACTGACCATGTCTCTTTGAATTATTAATTAGTTTAATTTTACAAAGTTGTAATGATTATTAACAATAAGCTGATTATATGTATTTCATGCTTATATGAGGTTTATAGCTAATAAATTGTTTGCTAGCATGAGACTTTATTTAATTGAAACTTGGTTCTATTTGACTTGATGAACTTTTATGTTCCGAAAAATTTAATCTTTCAATCCAATTGGAACGCGCAAGATGTGTGATGTTTAGAAGAATAAAACTCTTAAAATGTATAATGTTTTTTTATTTATGTGTTGAATAGGCTTAAACCAACCGAATCAAACCAAATCAAACCGATATGATCTCTCCATTTTTTATTTGGTTTAGTTCGATTTGAATAGTGGTATTGATCAAAATTGAATCGAACTGAACCACTGAATACTATTTGATTCAGTTTATTTTTTATTGTCAAACCAAACCGATGTAATCTGCCCCTCTCCTTAAATTAAATAGGATTTCGATGGATTCATCAAACAAAGTAGAATTATACTTTATCTCGTGATATATTGGTTTGATTAACATCAATATATATGCCACAACGGTTTTCATTATTTCAAATCGCGTCCTAGCTTTCTTTTATTAGGCCAATATGATTCGTCTTTGGCTGATGAAATATTGTTTGGAATCTCCCCACTTCTATCTTATAATAAGAGGTAATCATGGTACATAATTGGCCTATGACCTACCTTAATGGGAAATTAAGTACAAAATTAATCGCACTAAATTGTGAAAATTTTAGAGTAGAAACTCGAAATGTAACATTTTCAATAGGTCCACATACGTTTAGCCTCAGTTTTATGAAAATTTGAAAGAAAATGAGTTTCACTTTTTAAACCAATTGACAATAGATGAATGGCGCAATTTCTTATAATTTTCACACATAACGTCATGTAAGTTAATATGCTTTAGTACAATTAAGGAAGATGAAGTTCCATCCTGAATCTGAATGAGATCATTAACTCTTCATAAAACCTTGCATGCTAACTGAGGGTTTGCGGTAGTTTAACCCACAAGTAGTCTTACTTTTTAAACAATTTTCACCTTTCAAAAACAAAAAAAGTAGGGCCCCCAAAAATTTGGGTCAGCCAAATACAAACCCAAATGTGGGTTTAGCTTGGGTCAAAAGCCAAACTTTTTAGGTTTATGTGCAACCATTAGATGCCACTTAGTACTACGGTTTAGTGGTATTACTTCTTCACATATAAGTGAGAGGTATTTAGGTTCGATTCTCGCCAAAAGAAAATTTGAACAATATTATTGCTAGTCCACTGTAAGGCTTAACCTAATCTCCCACCCTTTTCGTGTAGAAAATATTTGTTGTTCAAAAAAACAAAAAAGTCCCGCAATTAGATTGCATTTTTATTTTGTTTAAACTCAAATGTTTAGGTTTGGGTCTTACCCTATAGTTGGTCTTAAATAAATCCTCAAAGATAGTAGAGGGATCCCCATTGGCGATACTTTAAAGAGATTAGACAAAGCTCGAATTCTTGTGTTGGAATGACACAAAGTGATCTCTTGATCCCCTAATGCCTTAGTTCAAGTACCTATAAGGGTAGTGCCACAAAGTCACACTTGCAATGATCACAATGAAATTTCAAACACTATCTATCCACAAACACCCATGCACTTGACCTAGTGTCCTTATCGTAACTATAGGATCTATAGGAACACTAAAAAAATATAGAGAGTTATAAGTTCAGAATGATTATTTACTCGACAATCTGAACTAATTTCTGGATAGATACATAAATCATCAGGAACGAGTACTTTTATGGCCCTTCCTAATTCATGCTAGCACCATATAACTTCGTAATGCCAGTTAACCCTATAAAAATTAAAACAACGCCAGCTCCATTTTTGTGATCTAAAAAATACATGAGACAAAAACAAAATAAAAAACAAAGACAAAACATATGCACAAGTGTGGTATGACTGAAATACAAAATGGATCTTCTCTAGTCCTCTGAAGGCTTCTTACATGTATACAGGGAACGGAACCAATGTGCATATCATTTGGGACCGGACTGTTGAATTGTAATCTTGCCAAAGCCAAAGCCAACTCGACCAATAATACTTTTGATCCTCCTCTACCAAAAGCCAAAGCTAAGCATCCTTTATAAACCTTACCAAAGCCACCTCTACCAATAATATTTTTGTTGCTAAAGGTATCCGCAACTTGTAGCTCGCGCAAAGAAAACCTTTTGAGCTGTCGTAAATGAACTTCTTGATCCTCCTCAGCTGCAAAGACAGTAGATGAGTGAAACCTGCATCCCATTCAACAACTACAACACCAACTTGATCAAGCTATATTACTCTTATAGTTCACTAACCAGGTTCATCAAATAAATGATCCTGTGATTTTCTTCGTCGCCAATAAGCAAGTGCAATTGCAGGAGCAGCAAACAGCAAAGCAGCACCAGCAACAGCCGCAGTATTAGTGGCACGGTGCGAGTTCGTAATTCTGTTCGGGTACGGAATTCGGTTGTAACCTATAGTACTATTCGTTAGTGTGTACACATAGACAATATGATATTTAGCTCGATTCGTTCTCAATTCGTTAAAAAATATAAATTAAAAAAAATTATAATATATATACATTTTAATTATAGTTATTGTTTATTGTAAGCAATTATTTTTAATAGAATTGATTATTTGTAAGCAATTATTTGTTACAAATAAAAAACAATTAATTCTGTTAAATTTCTAATCAGAATAATATAAATATTGTCAAATTAATATGGAACTTGGGAAATGCTATGGGTCACCGACTGTTTACATCTTCTATAAAAAATATCAACACTGCAGATGGGTCCCTCCACTAACATAATAAGAAAAGAGTGCTGATAGATCCATGGATAAAGTACAAACTATCTCAATTATTGGTGTCACGACACTTTCATATCTCATCTTTTAAAATTGACAATGTCATACCTCATCTTACGAATTTATGCCAATGTTATACCTTCCGTTAGGGTTTGCGTGAATTTCTCAGGTAAATGCTTACGTGACTTGATCCGAGACCCATTTTCTATTAAAAAGTTAATAAAAAATTATTAAAAACTAAAACAAATTATTTAATATTATTTAAATATTAAAATAATAAAGAAAAGTAAAGAAAAAAAGAAAAAAACCTCAAGTCAGTTCGTCCTTCCCACCCGTCTCTCTCTCCCCATCTTCCTGCAACCCAGTTCTCCCCCCCCCCTAACAACAAACTCAGAAAGAAGATGGAGGAAGAAGAAGAAGAAGGAAAAAAAAAAAAAAAACCCCCCACCACAAACCCAACCCCCTGCAACCCAAAAAAAGGAGGAGGAGGAAGAAGAAAAAGAAAAAAAAAAACAAAAAAAACCTAACCCAACCCAGTCCCCCCCCTCCCCAAAAAAAAACCTAGAAAGAAGGAGGAAGAAGAAGAAGAAGAAAAGAAACCCAGTTCGTCCGTCCCCCCTGCACCCACCCTCTTCCCTCCACACCCATTCCCCCTATTTTCTTCGCGCCCAGGTTCTCAACCTTCGGAATCGGCCTGGCGAAGGCTTCCCGATTCCACCTCAACGGGATATGGTTTTTTTTTTCTGGGTTTTTTTGTTTTAAGAAATCCAATTCGTCTGTCCCCCCTGCACCCACCCTCTTCCCTCCACACCCATTCCCCCCATTTTCTTTGCGCCCAGGTTCTCAACCTTCGGAATCGGCCTGGCGAAGGCATACTTGACGACGGCTATTGATCTGGCAGTCTCGATCGAAGAATTCTTCAATGCGCCTATCGTCTCTAGTCGCTGGAAAGCAACTTAAGAGGATCCAATAGTAGTCCGTTTTGGACAGCTATGGAGATTATATGATCTAGTCGCAGAGAAGGGTCTAGATTTACCCGGTTCCAATACTTGGTACCCAAACAGAGTTTGGTAAACCCATAACTCTTTTGGGCGGGATCTCTGGACAACAGTTCCTTGTGTTCGCTGCAGGTCTGATTCCACCTCAACGGGATATTATTATTTTTTTCTGGGTTTTTTTGTTTTTTGTTTTAAGAAACCCAGTTCGTCCGTCCCCCCTGCACCCACCCTCTTCCCTCCACACCCATTCCCCCCATTTTCTTCGCGCCCAGGTTCTCAACCTTCGGAATCGGCCTGGCGAAGGCTTCCCGATTCCACCTCAACGGGATATGGTTTTTTTTCTTCTGGGTTTTTTTGTTTTTTTTTGGGTTGCAGGTAATGGGTGCGAGGTTGGGTGCGAAGGTGGGGTGGTTGGGTGTGGAGAGTGGGTGCGGGGAGAAGAGGGGGTGGGGAGGGGGAAGACAAATTGGTTTTTTATTTTTTCTCTCTTCTTTTTTCTGGGTTGGAGTTGTAGGAAGGGGGAAGAAGAGAGAGAAGGGGGGAGGGGATGAACTGACTGAGTGTTTGTTTGGTTTTTTTTTTTTTAATATTTAAAAAATATTAAATATTTTTTTTTAGTTTTTAATAATTTTTTAATAGAAAATTGCCCCAAGATCAAGTCACGTCAGCATTTAACTGAGAAATGCACGCCAACCTAACGGAATGTATAACATGGACACAAATTCATAAGATGAGGTATGACATTATCAATTTTAAAAGATGAGGTATGAAAGTGTCGTGACACCAATAGTTGAAGTAATTTTTTGTACTTTACTCTAGATCCATTATATTGAAAATTTTATCCTTGTGATCGTAACACAAGTGATACATCACGTGTTATTATATAAATTGTGGAAAATTTTATTTTTTATGTTATTAATAATTTTTAACATAAGAATCTCACCACTTGTACAAACACGTGATCTCTCCACCCTTTACAAATCTCTCTAACAGTCCAAATTGAACAAATCTAGAAATTAACTTATCTGGTGAAAAATAAAAAAAAAGGTGAAAATTTACAAACTTGAAATACACAGTCATTGTTTTGTTGGAGAGTTGTAGATTGCAAGAGATCTGCTACCTCAATTCAACAAATTTTGTTCGAATCAAAAGAATTAAATCCAAAAAGTGAAAGTAATATTTTCTCTCTTCCTCTCCCTCTTCGTCTTCTCTCTGCCCGATGAAAACCAGAAGCACCGAGCTTCCCAAAATTCCAGTTGTTTCGCTCCTCTCTTTCCAAAAATTACAGGTGCGTTTTCTTTTCTGTAATCTGATTAGAAATTATCAGATATGATTAGATGAACCACTGAATTCACCACCGAATCGCTAAAGTAATGGTACGTCCGTACCGATACAGAATCCGGACACTATTTCACCGAATCCGGCACCTAATATGAACCACCAGAGTTAAAAGGGAAGGGTTATTTGCACAACATGAACCAGAACGAGATGAAAAATCCTTAAAAGTCGGATGTTATATGATGAACTCCCTCTCACATGTCATTGTTTTAATTCATTTCTTCAAACTCATAGGAATTTAGGAGTATCCTCTCGGATCCTCAATCCATTCCTTTCCTAACTACCATCTTCTTAGAATCTTTACAGCAGTGATTCCAACAATAATGTTGTACTATGAAAAAAATTTAACAGAAAAACACCAAGAAAAAACATTAACTACCAATGGACTGGAGTCGATATCACAAGTGTCTGTGAAACAAAACAGAGCCAGCTGGAAAGTAATAAGTTTAGGATTTGAGGTCAGCCCGTTAAAATTAGGATTTGTTAGAGATTAAGGTTATAATTTATTATAAATAGGATGCATGTTATTTTCTTTAGAACAAGTGTGTCACAATGTAGTGTTTTTAAATTTTGCAACCGTTTTGCCATTCTTATTTGTGTAATAATATTCTTATTTTGTAGTCTAGTACTCTGATATTCAACTGTTCTCAAAATAAATTTGAGTTAATATCACAAGAACAGTATAAGTTGTAAAAACCTGGAGAACTTGGTGGGGTTGGAGAAACGGGAGGAGGTGGATTCAGACGAGGATTATTGGAAAAACTACAAAATGAATAATAGCAGTCAGTACATCATTTAGATCGTCCGCTGGGACAGCCACCGCAGGAAAAAAGGTAAAGAAAAAAAAAGTAAAGTGGGTTCAACAAACCTGACGGGAGTAAAAAGTGAAAAAGATCCATTGACTGGAATATCCCCTGTCAGATTGTTATTTGAAAGATCCCTGCATTCCATGGCAAAACTATATGTTATTTGCATTCTCTGATGGCGGAGAAATTAGCAACTTCCCTCTCCTCCCTCTTACTGAGATGAAAGTGTACGAAACTCACAGGACTTGCAATGATTGAATGTTAGTCAGAGTCACGGGAATACGCCCTGACAAGCTGTTGTTGTATGGGCGCCTATTTCGTGGAAAAGAAAGTGCTAATTAAATCACAAATAATCGCAACAACAACAGATATTAAAGGGGACGAAAACACCCCAACTTCTCTTTCTCTGTCTCGCAACCAGCCACACTGTCCATTCACTCAAAATTCCAAAAATCTTAAAACCTCATTTCCTCCAGCCAAAAAATCGCGATGACCCTTCATTCGTGGAAATTTTCTTCGGAAAATTTGCAACGAAACCCCGCCGCTCCCAATTCGAGAACTCCTCACTCTAACTCCGAATATTAACAAGGTCTCTCTCTCGCATATAATTTTAAATTTTTGGAATTTATCTTCAAAGAATGAATTTTTAATTTCAAATCAAACTTCAAGTTTTTTATTTTTTGGGGACTGTGGGATTAATTTTTGCAACAGAGGCCGGAAGACTGAAGATCGCATTTTGGATTGTGATTTCGCAGACTTTGTCGAGTTGCAGCCTGAGGTGTGATTTAACAGCTGAAATTCCCAAGCTTTTTGATTAATCTTAAACCAGATTACTTAATTATTGTTAGACTATTTATTAGATATTTGGCTTCTACATAATTTACAAAAACCATAACTGGCAGATGGTTTTATACTTGACCGAATTGTTAATATTATTTCATGACGAGGCTGAAAAAGCTGGGGTGTTCCATTTGCTTCCAGTACATTCTTCCAACCCAGTTCCAGTTCTCTCGCCAGTTTTCAAGAAGCACAGCGTGAGTTCCTCTTCTTTTTCTTAATCACAGAGTATTCAATTAGCGTGTGTGATTGTATTGTTAACATAAAGTACCTCTTTAAATTTCTACTGACCAATTGCAGGTAGATGGTATGCTCACAGAACTTGCCTGCTTGCTTCTTCAGATGCCTTTCGTGCAATGTTTGCTGGTGATATGATTTTCCAATTTCCCCTTTGCAGCATTTTCTTTTTGGTTTTTGTAGTGTATGCACTGTTGTGCTTGGCTCATATACTTATGAGTTGGCAACAATTTTGATAGTGTAACTTTCTGAGTGCTACAGGGAAATGGCAGTAACCACTTTGTGTTTGGCTTTCGGTTATGGCATGGATGTCTTGTTTCAAGAGAAGACATGGTGACTACCACAAGCAAAGTTGGAAGCAAGACTTGACTTTATGGTTGCTTGCACACAATTGTGCATGTTTTATTGTGCATGTTTTATTTTATATGTATTAAATGACAAATGGAGAAAAGTTGTACTTTATAGACTAGGTATAGACTTTGATGCATGCTAGGTAGGCTAGGTGATAATTATGTCATGTGAACTTAAGACTTTTGGGTCTTGTTTGTTGGCATAGTTGCTAGTGTATGCGTATAACTAGATGCAATATTTGTGCATTTAGAAATGCATTTGAGAGAGCATCCGAAGGAGAACACAAAGGAGAGAAAATATAGAGTGAGAGTGAGAAACTCTTGGAGAGAGTGAGGCTCTTAGTAAAATTCTGTGAGGGTACAAAGGATTGGGGTTTGGGTTATGTTAATTTAACTCAAGTGTATCTTGTACTAGTTATTCTCATAGTGAAGAGCAATATCTCTTGGAGGACGTAGGCAGATTTTTGCCGAACCTCGTAAATTTCTCAGTGTATTTATTTCTTGTAATTTAAACTGTTCAACTGTGGGTCTGTAGTTTGGTGAGACAATCTGAATCTCACTTCTGCACTGACGAACGACCAAGGCACAACATGCACTACAAAAGTAACACAATGGGAGTAGGTTTAGAGCTTAAAGAAATTTCAACATGTAATGAGAAGTGAGGGTTTTTGCTTAACCACTTTTATTTACTGGTTTTTTATTCGAATTTATAGCACCGAGGATATAGGTGAACGGTGAAGCAATTGGTTGGGTACATGCATCTTCAACATGTTGTGACAATTATACTAAATGATTTTTCAATTTTTTTGTTTTGTTTTGTTGGAGATTGAAGATGTAAGTGTACTAAATTGGAAGCTCAAGTATTGAACAACATGATTTACTTCATTTGTTAGTTGGTAAAGACTTCGTCTCTCATCTAAACCCATTGTATTTCTTCGGCTTTTTTTCTTGGTGAGAATTGGAATTTTTATTTATCTTTCGAAACTCTAAACTGGTTGTCCTTCTCATATGAAAAATGAGCATTTTTATAAGCCAATTAAAGGCTCATATGATTCAGAAGCCTAACCAATGAATTTATCTTGAACAGATTACTTGAGGAAAAATGTACATCCTCATCTACAGAAAAACAAAGAAGAAAGAAGAGTGAAGTACTGAATGTAGAAAAGTTGGGACAAGGAAAATGAATATATTTTTATATGATTGTATTTGTATGAACAACTTAATCCACAACTTTTTCTATGTAATGTATTCTTCAAATACCTATCTTTTGTTCATTATTACACGTAAGGATGCAAATAGACTTTGGTATGGATGTAGACAAATTTTAATATGTGATATATCCTACATTTATATATATATCTTTTTCCCTTATTGAATATGAGGATGTAAATAGATATTTCTTTGATATGGATATAATTAGATTTTAATATATTTGCATACGTTTAACAAAGTTTTAAAACTCGCGACATCGCGCGGGTTCTATCGCTAGTATATTTATGTAAATATTCCGATGTTAAGGCCCCTTACTGTTCAGGACCCACTCCTAGAAAAAGTCAAAACTCAAGCTACATGCCTTGACCACAATATTGGGTTGAGCCGAACAGCATAATTAGCATATCAAATAAAAAAAGAAAGACGATAGATTTTATCTAACAAAGGGATGGGGGTTCATACAGGAAACGCAGTTTTGCAAGGTTGCCAAGTAAAGATCCAAGCTCACCAAGTCTGACAAACCCCCAATCTCTTCGGGAATGTTTCCAGTTATGCTATTATTGGAAAGTTCCCTGTCAAGAAAGTGTGTTTCAATAATGTCAAATGCAGTTGTGAAATTCATCAGTCATGTATCAATACCAATTTCAATTCGAATGCATAGTGATGGAACAGTTGGATAAGACCCGAACAAAAAATCAGAGCGAAAAACATGCTTACAAGTACTGCAACTTGGAAAGCACACCAAGCTGTGCCACCAGATGACCAGAGAGATTGGCATTGGCAAGATCACTGGGTGGAGCAAAAATGTTAAAAACTTCCCGTAATGCTATTTCCGCTGTTACAAGTGAATTGAACTGAACTGAATCGAATCGAATTGAATTGAACTGAATTGAAAAGGAGGTGTTTGTTGGGTTTGCTTACACCACAGTAACCCTGTTTTTGCTATTACAAGTGACATGAAGCCAGGTGCAGGGATTGTAGAGAGCCGGATCCCAACTCTGCAGAACATTGTTTGGATCAGCTAGATTGGTCTTCAACGCGTTCAATGCGTCACCTGTCAAATCCAATCATTCATTCATTCATTCGTTAGTTCATTCCAATTCCCGCAACCAAACACACCCAAATTCAAAAACACAGAGACACAGACATACCTTCTATGTTGGCAGCGAGCTTATGGAGGTTCCAAACAGCAGAATCAGCCAAACAGAAACAGGGGCGGAGGACGTCATCACTGTTGGGCCCGTTGGTGCTCAGGTGAGCAGCTGGCGTTGACCGATCAAAATCCGAAGCATCTCTGCGTTGACCGGATTAGAGAAAATTCGGTGGCTGTTTGATTAAATTGCAGATTGAGTTTGGAAAAGCATGCCGCTGCTTCTTAGAGAGAGAGAGGTTGAAATCTCAGCTTGCTAGTTTTGGAGAAGAAAGAAGAAAGGTAAAAGGTTTGGGAGGAAGACGAAGGAGCTGCGGATGGAGGACTCTCAATCAGTCAAAGTCGCAGCCCACAGCGTCGGAAGTTTCGTTTCTTCTTTTGTTTATATTTATTTTTTACTTTTTAGCTGATATCTGAAATTGTTATGCAATTCCTCACTTTGTTTTGAGATTTCTGATTTTATTCAACATGATCATTTCGTAAAAAAAAAAAAAAATTATCTTCAATTTTTGTCAAATTATTACGGTCCATTATTTATTGAATTGAGGTTATTTTTGTCATTTGCTTTGTTGATGCACAAAACCGGAGGTTTTGGAACAACGTAAATCCGACCGTGAATCTGCATGAAATGTAAATAACACAAGATGTATCGTGGTTCACCCCAAGGTTTGGGCTACGTCCACACTGATTGTATTTATTTGAAGGAGAGAGAGCTCTGAGAGTGAGAGCGTTGAGAGAGGGTGAGAGGGCCTAAGAATTTGGCTTTTTTGAGAGTGAGAGTGAGGCCTTTTTCTAATTGTGAGGGTGAGGGGTCCTTTTATAGAATAAGGACTCCTCACTTATTACATATTTGTCCATTCCTTTATCACATAATTACATTTAAGTCCCCCGAGTATTTATACGAGGTCTAAATACGAGGCCCTAAATATGGTATAAACAGTAGTCCCCTAAGTCTTCAGTCAAGAGAGTCTTTTGGCTGGAGACTTGAAATTCAGTCCATGTGTGGGCCGAAGTAACTAGATGTTATCTTGAACTGATGTTTGATATGAGGCGGTGCTCAATCTGAAATGACGCTCAATTAGAAGTAGCACATGCTGCGATGCTGCTCAGCTCGTGGCTTATGGCGCCTTGGTTGGCTCGGCTTGCGGCGTTTGAAGATAAGGGAGTCCCTTTTATAGAATAAGGGCTCGCTCCTTAATACATGAATGATAGGCTAGAGTTGATGCTCTCTAATGATGGTGAGGAGTCCCTTTTATAGAATAAGGGCTCGTTCCCTCGATACATAAATGATGGGCTAGAGTTGATGCTCGCGGCGAGACGGTTGCTCAGCTGGCGGCGTTGCTCTCTAATGATGGTGAAGGAGTCCCTTTTATAAAATAAGGGCTCGCTCCTCAATACATGAATAATGGGCTATAGTTGATGCTGCTCTAATGATGGTGAGGGAATCCCTTTTATAAAATAAGGGCTCGCTCCTCAATACATAAATAATGGGCTAGAGTCCCCCAAGTATTTTTCATGAGGCCTAGTTGAGGCCCAATATATGGTGTATAGTGTAGTCCCTCAAGTCTTCAGTCAATAGAGTCTGTTAGCTAGAGACTTCAAATTGAATCCATGTATGGGCCGAAGTGGCGGTTGTTCGGAGGTGGTATTTGTATATCCTGCACTGAAGCTTTGTAAATGAAGCTTTGCAAGTGAAGCTTTGAAGCTGGAGCTCTGTAAATGAAGCTTTTGAAGCTAGAGCTTTTGTAAATGAAGCTTTTGAAGCTGATTGACATGAGTGATGCTCATGAGTGTTTAATTGACATGAGTGATGCTCATGAATGTTTGATTGACATGAGTGATGCTCATGGATGTTGACATGAGTGATGCTTATGAATGTTGACATGAGTGATGCTCATGAATGTTTATGTATGATTGATATGAGTGATGCTCATGAATGTTTATGTATGATTGACATGAGTAATGCTCATGTATAATTTGAAGTATTGGGCGTACTTTTGTTTACCTAGTTGGTGGCATGAAGGAGAGTACGGGTTGTACATTTCATCACCTGGTTGGTGGCATGAATGGCTAGTTGCCAAATGATATTAGAGTACGGGTTTACATTTCATCACCTGGTTGGTGGCATGAATGGCTAGTTGCCAAATGATATTTAGAGTACGGGTTGTACACTTCATCACCTGGTTGGTGGTAATAGCGGCGGGTTACCGAATAATTTTAGAGTACTGGGCATACTTTTGATCACCTGGTTGGTGGTAATAGCGGCAGGTTGCCGAATAATTTTGGAGTACTGGGCGTACTTTTGATCACCTGGTTGGTGGTAATAGCGGTGGGTTGCCGAATAATTGTGGAGTACTAGGCGTACTTTTGATCACCTGGTTGGTGCTATTTCGGGCTTATGAGCCTTCGCCCTCCACAACATGGCAGCCCATTTGTTTTGGGCTTTGCTATTTTTTTTTAGTTACCCTCTGATGGGGTTTATACAGATATTTCCGAAAGATAAAAAAAATACATCATTCTGGTGGGGTGTTTATTCCTTGCTTTTGAAATGTCTCCATGTTCCTCTCTTCTTCTTTTCTCTTTTCCTTTTCTGCTTTACTTTTGCTTTTGTTTCTGTCTTCTTTTCTCTTTTGTAGATGGCAGACAAGGAATGATAAGTACATTAATCTTATCTCCCCTTTTGCACGATCCCTCATGATCACAGCCTCCACCACCTCTCCATACTTCCGTTGGTCCAGCCAATAGGGAGGTGCATGAGTCAGCAATTGCTGAATAGCCATTAGCACAAAATCCAGATGATTCACCATCAATTAAGACATCACCCATATCAAACTGCCAGTAGCCTTTCTGAGTCACGGGAACATATGTATGCTCACCCTTGAAATGACTAGAATCAACCCCACCAAAGACAATCTCACCCCATTCTTCCCCTTCTGTATTGCGATTTAACCAAAATGAGAAAACTGGTTATTTAACAAGACCTTGATTGACCAAATTATACCAGACAGGAACAGCATCTCCAACTGAGATATGTTGAAATCCAAGTCCAAGAATACCATCAAACTTAGCTGCCACAAACGTGACTCCAGGCTCTTTGGTTGCCTCAATAAAGTCCTGATCCTTAACAACAAGATCACCGACTTGGACATGGTCCTGGTGGAAGAAACCTGAAATTGCACCAGTTCCATACTGGATCTCCGCACATTGAATCTCCTTTTTCATGCTGTTTAACTTTGTTCAGTGAAATAAGCCTCTTATTTGACCGTCCCTTTTAAGCCTGCAAGGTCCCAACTCAGGCTCCGCTTCTACAATGACATCAATAATGGAGTCCTGCAGAGCGGGCAAGTTTTGTGATTGTCCTCGTCGTGATGGTGATGATGATGATCATTATACTCCAGCCCCCTGTCAATGCACTCGGTGTGGAACACGTGGCAGAGACAATTCTAAGTTGTTTATCAGATACAATAATGAATCACATCTCAAAATCCCAGGTACTCTCAGCAGTTAATTTTGGCATCTTTCGTTCCTCCGCCAAATTGACAGATGCTGAAAACTGAGAAAAGCCATTGATTTTTGATCTCCTCGACCACTCCAACCCCAACAACATCATCATAAACCATCTGGGCCACCGCGAGATCCCATAAATTCTTGCCCAAATCGCACAATGGCTCAAACATCGTGGAGTGAGCCTCTCTGGTCGTGGCACCAAAACTTCAACAGATAGACCGAAGAAGGCGTTGGGACGTTGGAGATTTGATTGAGATAAAATGAGAAGAAGCACGACGACGGGCACGCGGACGAGAGCTGATCCTTTAACCTCTCCTAATCGCAGCTAAGGCCGGCCTTGTTGGGACAGTTGACGGTGAGGACGGATGGCTCATCAGGAGCCTTCCTCGGCTTGATAACGACGATGTCGTCGCAGGGAATGCCCATGGCGGAATCAGGGTAATCACGAAACTATCCCTCTTTCAGTTGGGTGTGTTGATTGATGTGTCAGGCTGAGCGATGAGGGACAAGATAGAGATGAGGGACATGAGAGATATATAGAGATGTTGTTGTAGCTGCTTTAGCATAGACAACCAAAGACCAAGATTTGATCAGAAACCCATTAAAATTCTCCGATTGGAAAGACCACCCATTTCGAAAAAATGCCGATTAGGAGACCCAAGTGAGGATTTGATCCAACACGCCATGGGAGGGCATAAAGCTAAAGAATTCGTGCTTATTTTTGTTTTTGCTTGAGAAAAATCTGTAAAGGTGTTGAAAAAGTTGTAGAGAAAGACATGGAAGCCATCATTTTTTCTGGTGAGCACTTTGGAACTCGGTGGAAATATGAGGACATGGTGGCGTGGATGGGCTGCAAAAGCAGGTGAATTTGCAGCTGAAATCTTTGGTTTCCGTGTTGACTGACTGAGAGAGGAGGCAGAGGTGGTTGGAGGTCTGCGAAAGTTTTCTGGAGAAACCCAAAAAGTGAGGTTTTTGGGTTCTTGGATTTCTGCAGATTCACGGCGGAGATGAAAAATTGAGAGAGAACCGACATAACTTTTCGTGTCGTTTCCCACAGACGGCGCCAAATGTTGATGCACAAAACCGGAGGTCTTGGAACAACGTAAATCCGACCGTGAATCTGCATGAAATGTAAATAACACAAGATGTATCGTGGTTCACCCCAAGGTTTGTGCTACGTCCACACTGATTGTATTTATTTGAAGGAGAGAGAGCTCTGAGAGTGAGAGCGTTGAGAGAGGGTGAGAGGGCCTAAGAATTTGGCTTTTTCGAGAGTGAGAGTGAGGCCTTTTTCTAATTGTGAGGGTGAGGGGTCCTTTTATAGAATAAGGACTCCTCACTTATTACATATTTGCCCCTTCCTTTATCACATAATTACATTTAAGTCCCCCGAGTATTTATACGAGGTCTAAATACGAGGCCCTAAATATGGTATAAACATGCTTCTTATTCAATAGAGATTTTTAATCGAATGATCAAAATAATTGATAGTTAACAAACTCAGGGATCACTTCTAGCAATTTCAAATCTCAGGAACCGAAATGATTAATTATGCCAATTTCATGAACCATTTTGATTAATTTCATAATAGAAAAGTATAAGCTAAAAATTAAAAATTGAAAACAAAATGATTATCAAGCTACTTTTAATT